ACTGCATTATATCTGGCAAGCAATGAGTGGGTGGCGCAGAAACAAGCCGATGATGTTGCAACTCACATTACTTGGGTGGAGATGGCTGCACGAGGAGGATGGCAGCCAAGGCGGCGCGTCGTTTTGAAATGAACTTGAAGTTCCTCAAAGACGGGATGCCAATGTCGAGCCACTTCTGCCCAGCATGAGCGAGCTCGACTTCAACGCGAGTGGGGCTGCTCAGCACTTGAAAGGTGTAGTTGGCGCCAAATAGAAGGGCTACAATGAAGAAGTTGATGGCGACGTGCAAGCCAAAGTTGAGGTGTTGAGCTGCATCGCAGGATCCTTCAAAGATGCGGCTCTTCCCGCCGTTTTCCATAGCCATCGTAATGACGAAGAATATGATCGTCGTGAGAAGGATGACACCAGCGATGGCAACGTGGACAGCGATGCCGCCCCTCCAGCCGTCTAAAGAGGCCCAAAAGCCGCGTGCTGACCGTACGCTCCAGCCTCCTCCGGGGCCCAGCATCTGCTCAACGTCATCATGCGAAGCAACGGAGTCTAGCCGGCTCACAGTCGAGCCATTGTCGAAGAAGCCATCAGGGCCGAAGCGCTGTTTCAAGGCGGCTGCAACATCCTCAGGGTCGGGCGTGTTCTGCTTTTCTCTCTTGCGCGCCAGGGTCTCGGGCGTCTCGCCGCGCAAGTAGTTGATGATGTAGTCCGGTACGAAATCCAGAAGAGTGGCGGTTGATTCTCGTTTCGCGTGCTGCCACGTCGCGCGCCGGGCCCGATTAGATGTCAAGGGTCGCTGTGAGGAAGGCGAACCAAGGCTGGTTTCTTCTGCATCTTCGGGCACTCCTCCATGCATAAAAGGCCACTGAATGGTCTGTCTGTTTGTCGCCCTTGTGGCACTGGTGCCTGGCCGGCTGAGGCTGCTCTGTCGCCGCCTGCTCACGCTACTAGTTGTCGGCCTGCTGATTGTGCTGGTCTGTGGCCTGCTACCACTTCTGCTGTTACATGTGTTAGTATGAGGCGGGTGGGGAGATGTTGACTTGGCTCGGGACAAGAGGCTAACCTTGTCAGAGGGCTAACATGTTCCAGGGCAGCGGGCGACTGGTCTCTTGGGCTCACATCGCCCTCGTCTTGCGACACTTTGGCAGGCTCCATTTCGAATTACTCCAGATTGAATGGCAGGCGAGAGCAGGACGGCATGAATGGGTTGTTGCGAAGGAGTGAATATCTCGTTGAATGGAACCAAACGAGAGGGTTGCAACAACCACACGGGAGAAAGATGAGACTCAACTGATACAAAAGAACGAAAGAAAAGAGAACGGAAACATGGAAAGGATGAGGCTCGCTGTACGAACCGAAGAGGCAGGGGTCTTGTATGCCCACGAGGGGGCGGGCCGGAAACGTGTCTGAGAATAAGCCATGGTCCTTTTCTTCCTTGTGGTGGGATGCGGGCGCAAAAAAAAACGTCCCCCTTAAATGGAACGGGAATATTTGTCATGGCCCGGGTCAAAACCATGGAATATGGGGGTTTACTGGGGTCTTGGCCGAGACACTTGGGGGAGCATAGTGCCGGGGTGCTAAGCCATGATGCAATGCGTCAGGGATCTTGGCCTCGTCGGGAGGACAGTACCGAGCTCTTGAAGGAAGGGGGCTGGCCCGACAGCGACCTAAGAGTTTGCGGCTATACAGACTCAGTGATGGCAAAGATGGGATGGCGTTGAGATCGGGAGGCACGGGCCATCTCATACTTCAGACGAGCAAAGGGGCCTAGATGGTCCTTGCAAAGCCCACGGGCCTCGGAAGTGGTGTCGCTTTCGAGATGGATCAGGCCAGCTAGCAAGGCCAGGCGGAGAGGCGCGGTCACAAAGAAAAGGGGTTGCTAGAGTGGGCTATTTCTTCTTCTTCGCTTCTTAGGGCGTGATTGACCCGCATAGGGACGTTCCCCCATAAAGTTGCAGATTGCCGCAGGGAAAAAGAAAGTCGGTGGTGATCACGGTGGCCGGCAGGCCCCTGCTTCGGACTTCGAGCAGGATTCGAATCGCAGGCATCGCAACACGGGCTGGTTTCATGAGACGCTACTGAGCCTCAGCTGTGGGCTTTTGATGTCAGATTCCTGAACTGAATGCTCGGCGATAGACCCTCGCGGTGATCCTACGTCCGTCTTGGTCTGGGCCGAAGACCCAAGGCCACGGGACGACGGCTGCATCACATATGGATCGACCGTAACATCGTGGTGGGTGATGATCAGTTTGTAGCGACACTGGACACGCGTGCCACATGGGTACCTGGGCAGAGGACAGTCTCAACCGAGGACAGGGACAAAGGCGAGGCAAGCAAGGGAGCCAGCTAGCTGATGAGGGTCGGAGGGAACCGCAACAAGCAAGGTCAGAAGTATCATGCGCAGGCGTCGGCGCCCGGATGGGTGACGAACTGGAGATCATTCATGCGCTGACTCGGAAACAGCCTTCGTTCTTTTCTTCTGAGCCTCGAGGGGGGCTGCTTCGTGGGCTGTTGGCTGCAGGCTGAGGTGTGCGGGCTGTGGGCTGTGGGCAGTGGGCAGTGGGCAGTGGGCAGTGGGCAGTGAGCAGTGAGATGTGGGCTCTCGCGCCATGTGGTGCCCGGAATGGCCGTCGAGTTCATGCAACAACCCGCGTGGAGGGGGTGTTGAAGGGGCTCGAGGGACCTGAATGGTGGTCAGGGGGTCGCGATGCGGCTCGTGGTCGGTCCACGGCGTTTCATGCTGCACGCCCGGGACAGGGCACCGCTGCAAACCGCCGGAAGAGAGGTCATTTTGGACGGTGTGTGTTCCATGAACCAAGATGGGCCATCGCGATCTTGCATGCGTTGCCGCGAAGTCGGATTGGACGGTGGCCCAGCATAATGGCTCATCGAGTGCTGGTGATGTTGAAGGAAGTAGTGCCATGTGCCGTCAATGGTCCGCCATCGCATGGGCAGATCACCAAGAAAGCGCCCTTACTGCTCCATATTGTACAGGGCAGGAGAACCAGGGTGGTGCCTGCTGCAGCCTGTGGCCTGGGCGGGTCACGTGCAGAGAACCGATACCTCTACCACGGCAGCAACGACCACGGCAGCAGGGGGAACATCCATGTCCACGTGACATCGTAGTAGACATCCGCACCAGATGGCTTCGCGGCTTCTTGGGCCCTTGAGGAAGATCTAGCGTCTCGGAGATTTTCTGGGAGATTTCGAGCTCCGAGCACACACCATGACCAAGGTGGATGATGCGAGACTACCGATGTCCGAGCATCCTGGTAGACAAGCATTCACTGACGGCGAGCTGAAGGCAAGATGACACACTTCTTGGAACATCAAGCAGCAGCTGGTGGCATTCTACCTACCACATATGGGATACCTCATGGGGGATGCCCTATACCTCACAGGGGATAGATGAACTGCTTGTTCTGCAGGTCCGTCAAGTCCAGCACAGCCAGGTTGACCTTGGTGCGGACCACCTCGCCCTCCTCGCCCACCGTCTCGACAAAGCCCTCGCGCTCGTCGTCGCTGAGGCCCGCAATGTACGCAAGCCGCTCGGCGTTCCGCCGCGCCAAGATGAACCGGATGATCCACAAGATGATCGGCGTGCCCACCCAGCTGACCGAGATCATGGACGCCCAGGCGCCGTAGAACCGCGGCCCATTGCCGGCCACCCAGATCTGTGGCGACACCAGGTTGCCGACGCTGTAACCGAGCATGAACATGACGTTGCGCGTCAGCTTCTTCGTGTACCCAGCCGCCGTTGACGTCGTCCACCCGAGCGCGATGATGTACGTGACGCCGTACGTCGACGCCGCGAGGATGAGGCACCCCAGGAGCCCAATCTTCTGCTCCCAGATCACCGTCACCATGGCCACGCCGCCCGCCACCGCCGGCATGCACCACACGGTCCCGTGTAGCGCCAGGTTGCGCGGCCACCGCCGCAGCGCGAACGTCGCCACAACGCAGCACGCCACGCCGAACCCCCCGCCGGCCGCCGCCACGAGCGTTGACCCCAGCGGGCTGACACCGATCGACGTCGTGATGAGGTTCTTCTGCCCGTAGTTGAGATTGTTCGAGAACATGAGCGTGAACGACTGCAGTGCGAAAAGCCACGACACGGGGTCCCGCAGCGTCTCGACCAAATTGCTCTCGCTTGAACCGCTTCTGTTCGATCGAGCTCTGCTGTGCCGCGTGCACCCGCCGGATCACCTGCACCTTCTCTTCGAGCGTCAACCATCGTTTTTTAATCCGCCTCATAGGGTAGTGGATCCACACCCACACGGCGAGGAGGAGTGTGAGCCCGCCCGTGACGATGTAGAGGAGCTTCCACGGGAGCACCGGCCCCGTCGCCCACAGCAGGCCGTACGAGATGAAGCCCGTGACCATGGGCGCCGCTTGACAGGTGATCCACAGAACGGGCTGTAGGAAGGACTGCTCGTGTCGATTGAAGAACATGCCAATTGTAATCTCCATAGCCGGCACAATGACGGCCTCGGCCGCTCCGAGCGCGAGCCGCATGACAACAAGGCCGGCATAGCGCGTGGCGACACAGTGCAGGAAGATAATGACAGACCAGCAGAAGACGGTGGTTGCAACATACTTGCCAAACGGCAGCCGCTGCATCAGGTAGTGACCCGGCCACTGAAATACCAGGTAGCCTAACTCGTCAATTAGCCAAGGCGTATGTGCTTGTGAAGACAATGTTCTCCCCGTACCGACATAGAACATGGTGTTCAGATTGTTGTACTCAGTTTGACGAATGCCTGTCTCTTCAAAGAGACCCAAAATGGCCGCATAGCCGAGCGTTGACTTGTCCACCTAGACGATGGCTTGTCAGCAAGCTGCCAGTTGTGATATCGGGACGTAGTCAAAGGAGTTGTCGTGACCTCACAAAAAGCATAATGTTGATAGCAGACAGGAGAAGCATGACACGGAGGTACAGCTTCCTGCGAAGCTTCTTCTCCGCCTCGGGCGTCAGGGGTCCGAACTTATCGCCATGTTCTTCGAGGAGCCGCAGAGTGACATCGGCATTTCGTTCTTCGACTGATTTTCCTTTTTGAGGGTGCGTCTGGGCCGTCTCTTTGGGTAGTTTGGTCTCTCTTGCCACCTCGGACTGCACACCCTTGCCGCTAGCCATAGCGACGGAAATATGAAAACGAGCGAAGGTCAATCAGCGACACCGGGATGTACAATCTCAAGCAGCTATTCGCAAGAGAAGCACGAGGTCAGGTCTCTACCGAGCAACATGATATGTAGCTCCTGGGGGGTTTTATACACCGGCTGGCCGGCCTGCAAAAGGTGATTGACACAACTTCGCAGGTCGCTGTGGAGTCTGAACATGACGATTCGTCTCCAGGAGCCACGAATTTTGTGCTGCCGGGCCTCTTCGTATGGCACGTCGAACCACCCAACGGCCTCTACGCGGCGCATCTCCGCTATCACGCAATACTCTGCAGCGATAAGCACTACTCTTGGTCCGTGAAGATCGGGGCGTCCCGGTGCCTTCGAAGGATCCATTGGACCGGGAAGGCACTACACGGTTGCAACAAGGACTCTGCCATGGGCACCAAAGTGTTTCTGACAACTGCGTTGCGTTTGGTGGCATGTGAAATGTGAATCAATAGCTCGCAAGAGGCACTCGCTTCTTGGGAGCACGCACCCTACGCGAGAGGGAGTGTATCTGGCTTCAGCGGTCATGGCAGATGACGACAGCGATTGTGTTAGTGGTAAAACGTGGGCTGCGATGTGACGCCGAGGGTATGCCGTATGGTTCGTTTTCACATGGCCATGAATGTCACGACAGAGGCGCATGCGAAGCGCGAAGGAGCTGCCTGTCCTGCACAGGATGTACTGTAGAGGAGGCCAAGGCATGGGCCAGGAGTGGAAACTGCTGGTCGTCGGGTAGCACCCGACAGCGGCGCGAGTCAGGGGTCGAAGCAGAGCTTCGCTAATCTGACGCCGGATGTCGCCCAACACCTTGGGTGATCAGTGAATCTTGCGAGCTGACAGGGCCTGGCAACTGGATTTAGAAAGAGATGCTGCCGAGTTTCGTGAGCACCAGAACGATGCACTGCTGTTCTTGCCGCACGGGTTGGCTCCTCTGTTTTTCTTCGTTCTGTCGGCCAGCTCCGCTGCAGATCGACATCCATGGGAACCAGAGCAAGAAGAAGCATTCCCGCTGGCCCTTGGAACGAGTACCTGACAAGAATGATGGCGACCGTGAGTCAGCCCTGTGACGTCAATCAGCCAGACAGGCACCTTGCTGAGGCGGCAGGGTGCCTGTCTGAGGCGGCAAAGCGAAGCAGGGAGACGGGGATCGGCTCGACCTGTTTCGAGTCGATGAGTGGATTGGTGATCAACAGCGAGAGCCCAGTCAGCGCCAGACGATGAGGAGGTCAGTACCTAGATTTAGGGAGATGCCCTAGCTGCCTGCTTTACTACCTAGGTAGGTAGGTACCTTGGGAAAGGTAGGTGCCGGTAGGTAGCTGCCTCGAACGTGGGGGACAGGGGTCATCAGTCACTGGACACGCCCTGCTGATCAAGCTGTGGCTGGTGCGAGAGACACGCCAGCTGCCTGCTGCTCGAGCGGTATGTGCCCTATTCCACCTTGATATCCAAAAGGAAGTACGTAAAAGAAAACGGCAAGGGGCCTCATGAAGGACACGTCGTGCAAGCCAGATGCTGAAGATGGTGTGAGAATGCATCCACCCGGAAGCACAGCTTCCAGGCCAACCGCTGAGCAAAAGGGCAGCGAGAGGGCCTCGCACGTTGGTGGTGCGATTCAGCACAGCCACAGAAAGCAAATGGCACGGTCGCTCCCGCATGGTCATCCCTATGCCGTTAGGCTTATTGGTCATCAGCCCTGGAAGCGGGGTGCGACCCCACCATGCTCGAGGCTGCCTTCTGGACCGTACGGTTTCCATCCCTTTTGACGCCATCCAGGTGGGTGCGCAACTCCCCTCCCCCCAAACAGCCGGTGGCCCTGTTCTGGCATTCTTTAAAGGACACCCAGGCTGCTGTCCTTGTTTCGATTCTTGTTTCCGTTTCTCGATCTCGGTCTTCCATTCTCGATCTCCCATTCACTCGATACCCTCCCGTCTAGCATATATACCGTTGCTCCCAGACAACCCGTTGTCAAACCACACCACGCTCTCCCTGCCACTTACACGCCAGAGCTCCTACCTACCCACACGACCAACATCCAACTTCCACGACAGCACAATAGCTACACAACAACGCCACGCCCGCTTTCCAGACATCACAACAGCCAGCATGTCGCCCTCCTACACCATGTCCTCCCACCTCTGCAAGCAGATTGCCTCCTCCTGGCGCCAAACCCGCCACGGCTCCCCCGACCCGACCTCCCCCACCCTCCAACCCGCCGCTGCCTACTTCCCCTCGCCCTCGCGCGAGAAGCGCAGCATGGACAGCGACAGGAGCGACTCTCCCATCATGTCTCGCTCCTCGAGCGTCACCTCCTGGCGCAGCGCCGGCAAATGAGCAGTCTACGTCTGATCCCAAGGCCTTTTTCCCCGTCTTGCAAAACACCAAGGCGGGGGCACAGCACGTTCAACGGGAGGGCAGACAGGGCATTTCGTTTTTGAATCTTTGGCGTCTGACGGCTGTATTTTTCATGTTTCCAAATCGTATGCAACACAACGGCGTTGGCGTATCATGGCAGGGGTGTCACAAGCACAAGGATCGATGGAATCGAGGGACTCAGGGAACGCAGGCGCTCAGGATATGTATGCATTTTTTATATTCTTGTTCCCCATTACCTCTCTCATCCCTGAAATACGATACGACCAGAATGGGCTCCACGAAAAGGGGGCGAAAGACATTGGTTCTCCCCGCACCATCAACACACATGGCGCCTGACCACCTGACAACCCTGCGGCAGAGCGGCGGTTGGAGCTTGTCGCGCCGAGAGGACACAGTACCAAGGCGGGCAGGCCGCGAGGACAGCTCGGCAGGTGCTGTGCTCTCTCTCCCCCTTTGACCTAGGCTACACGTTGCTCCGAACCAAACTCGGGGGCACAACATCGGGCCATATCATCACGAATTCAATTAATCACTCCTACTGCAGTTGCTTCATTTCGCTGCCTTCCGTCATGTCATCTCCACAGCCGTGAGCCATATCTCCGTACAGTGTGCCGGATAGTCGGGCGTTTCGATGGCGTGCGATGGCGCAACTCCGTCTCAACGCAGCCCCGTGTGGGGCCGCACACCATCTCCCCGCCGCATCACACCACGAGGGCCCTGCAGGATGGCCACATGCTTACTCAATCGTCTGTCCAACAAACGCGGTGATCGCATCGTCAGTGTATTTTGTTGACTCGTTCTTCCGCGCTCGAAATCCAGTCGGCCGTTCGGCCTCCTTCCCTCATGTGTTATTCGCTTCGCTCCCTGTGGACTAGTTGAGAGCCACGCTCATTGCGTAGACAAAAAAACCAAGCAAGACAAATCCTTAGCTGGCCACTCTGCCCCCAACGCCCCAAGTCGAAACACGTTTGTCCTCTCTCGCTCGCTCGCTCTCTCTCTCTCTTTTCTTTATGTATCCCCGCCCCATCTATGAACCGTTCCAAATCACCGTCACTGCCAACCGCGATACCGGGACCGTGAGATGTGGAGGAAGCGGGGGCACCAGCGCCGTGCCGTCCGTCGCCGGCCACGCACACCGCTCTACATCGTGGACGCCGCAATCGTCTGCGCGTCCGGCCGTGCCGCCGGTGTCTCGTCTCCGCTCGATGATTCCTCGCCCACGCTGCCTTGGATGCGCCGCTTAGCCTCCTTCTTCTCAGCATCCGTGATGTCCTCGTCATTCTTGCGCATATCAGGAGTCCACTGCGCCTCGTCGGGCGAGTGACCGATGGACATGCCCGCTCGAACCTGAAACATCGTGTTAGCTGGCGGTCCACAACTCGTTCACTTCGGCTGGGAAGCACTTACCAAGGTTTCGAGCGCGCCAGCCGAGTTGTCCGTCAGATCATCGTCGAACCGCATCTTGCCCTCCTCAAACAGGAGCACAATGGTGCTGCCGCCAAACTTGAAGTAACCGAGCTCTTCTGCGCGCTTGACCTCGTCGCCTTCATTGCGCGTGATCACCGTGCTGCCCACCATCATAGCTCCGACACAGATGACCATGACGCGGCCGTGCTTGGGACTGTCGATGGGGCATACAACTCGCACATTCTCACCATACACGTCAAGGGCCGAACGAATGGCCATAGGGTTGACGGTGTAGTATTCGCCCGCAATCAGCTTTGGCTTGTCCAATCGTCCGTCTACAGGGATGTGGAAGCGGTGGTAGTCCTGCGGCGCAAGACGGAAGATGCCCAGCGCGCCGTTTTCGTACCGCTTCGCATCCTCTGGATACGCGTCGCCAAGGAGTCTCTTGACGGAAAATTCGCGACCCTTGATCCAAACGGTAGTGGCGTGATCCACGCTGTTGAACACGACGCTGCGGCAATCGGCTGGCGAGACAACGATACCAGGATGGTCCGGAGCAGAACATGGGCGGGCGCCGGGCTTGAGCGCTCGGTAGAAAAACTCGTTGAAATTCTTGAAGTCTTCAAGCGGCCGGAGGACCTCCGACATGTCCAGTCGATGGAATTGGATAAATTTGGGAATCCCGCCCTTGGAAGCGGGGTTCTTCGAATTTCTTGCCTTGCTTGACGCTCATGCTCTTCAGCATCTTCCGAACTGTTTACACATCAGCACATGATCGGCGGTAGCTTCGAGGGGCGGGGCACGTACTTCTCTTGGTCTCCATGTTTCCAGACTTCAAACCCTTGTACAGGAGACGAATGCCCAGCCTCACGTACACGCTCATTTTCTCTTCATTAATCTGACCCGTGATCCGGTCCTGCACAAGAATATTGGCCGAATTGGCACCGAGCTTGTAGCCTCCGTACGAGATCTTTGTGAGGACCTTGGAGTACCACTTGCGTTGCGCCTGGCTTGAGGTAACAAACCCTCCCATCACCAAATTGTTAACTTGGCGCCAGTCCTGGCTGGCGCAAGTGGCAATGTGCGTGATGATATCGGTATCCTTGCGCTTGTGAAGTCGCGGCTGATGGCAGATGGGACACTCTCTGATCTCAACCACGTGTTCCTCGCCACTGCGGTCTTCGGCGAGGTCGTCCTGTGTAAAAATATCTCCTTCCTCGCCCGACTTGTTGAGTTCAGGGACGATGATGGTCGATTCGGAGGAGAGGCCCGCGCTGCCCGGGTTCTGCGTCGTGACTTGCGGGTTGTTCTCCTTTCCCTCGATAGTCGGTAGGTGAAGAAGGTTCTTGCCCGCCTTGTCTGCATCGGCGAGGACTCCCTTGACCTTGTCTGCAAGGGAAATTTGTGGGCGGCTCTTAGCCTCCAGTTGGTCTTCCAAGCAGATGACAGCCTCATCCATGGTCAAATCATACACGTCCTCGCCGGATTCATCGTTGGCCTTGTGGGGGAACCGCTGGAAGAAGCTGTCAATTGTCGACTCGCGCAGAGTCGAGCCGAGAGTGTCCAGCATGGTCGTGAGCTCGACCTTGCTGATACGGCCGCTCTCATCCGTGTCGTACTGTCGCAACAGGGAGCGCCAGAACTGTTGTCGCAGAGCCGGGTACGTCACGAATTTAGCGCGGACGAACAGCGTCGGGCTGTGCTTGGCCTCCCATTTGTCGGCCTCTTTCATCTTGAGGGGCAACTGAAAATCCAAAAAGTGGATGTCGTCGCTTTCGATATCGGCTGTGTCTGCGCCGGCGCCGGCGATGGCCTGCTCAGGGCTCAAGAACTCGGGGTTCAGAGATTGGGCCGGAGCAGGCGGTGGTGAAGGGGTCCCCAGCTGAGAGATGCCCGAAGCGGCACTAGCTTGCTTGGAGAGAGAGGGACGGTCCATTCTACTAAGACTCTGCGAAGAAGAGGTTCGCGACACGCCGAGCTTGCGGAACCGACAGCGATGTTGCGCAACCGGCGTGTGTTCGGTGGGTTCCC